CTTAGAATACAGCATGTCCGAATCCATGGTGTATGACCAAATAACTTTATAAAAACTTACTGTCCTCCCACACTGACCATGAGTGGAGGGATGAAAAAGGCTACAGGGAGAACAGGTTCCTGGGACACCACACACTGTGCTCATTCGAAGGGCAGACATGTGGACAGTAACTGTACATTCATATATTATCTTAATTTTAAGCTACTATAGGTTAGTTTTAAGAATTGTAATTCAGATTAGTGTTTATGCTTATTACTTTAAGGTCCTGTGGGTCTTTATCCAGAAAAGATAAACATGGGATCTGAGTAATATGAGTAATTCAATGAAAGAAATGTTAGATAAATTCATCTCACACACAAGACCATTCATTTATGAAGTTATGAGGGAGGAAAGATGACTAAGAAATAGTTTTTGTGTTGAAATAAAAAATTCTATTGAACAGATAGATGAGTATACCTAATGACATTCCTATATAAAGTAGGTGAAGAAGGGATCATTTATAAAAGATGATCCCATCATCATGAATTTCTCTCTGAATAAACTGTAATAGTACATAAGATCCTAATGAGATAACTGACATTGTGAAACAGTTTATATAATTTTTACAACTGTGCCAGATGTTGGCTTTTCTCTCTATTTCATAAATAGAAAATTTCAGAAGAGGCAAATTTCTCCATATTAAAAGTGCAAAATCTGTCATTGAACTACTTGGGGTTTAGATAAAAGAATTTTGATTATTTTTAAAAGTTGTTAGAAGATAAAAACTTCCACAAGTTGCCACGTGCTATGACCTAGTTATGACGTACGCCTTAAATTTTCCTGTGCTTGAAGTTTGGCCTCCCTTGTAACAGTACTGAGAAGTGGATCTTTAAGAAGTGGGCCTACTGGGAGGTGATTATATCAAGGGGGCAACACCTTAGGAGAGATTAATGCTGGTCTCCAGGAGTGGTTTGATCAAGCTGGAGTGGATTATTTCTCATGAGATTAAAAAAGAGGGAAACTGGCTTCTCCCCAGTCTCTTGAATCTTCCCTTGCCATGTGATGCTATCCATTATTTTGTGACGCAGCCAGGGGGGGTGTTGCCAGACACAATGCAAAGCTGTTTAGCATTTCCAGCAGCTAGCATCTCTTTTCTTTGTAAGATAGCCAACATCAAGTATCTTGTTATAGCAACAGGAAACAGACTAAGATATGTGTGAATTTGCCTGTGAATATGTATATGTCTGCACACATCTAGTACTTAAGGTCACTTTAGGAAGTAAGACCAGGCATTTTTAGTAATAAAATTAGTACAGAGGAGACAAGTAACTTGCTTAAGGATTAATTTTCTAGTAGTCCAATTGGAAAGGAAAAGAGTTTTCATAAGACTATACTGAGATGTCAAAAAAAGTCAATTTGGAATGAGAGAAACAAAACAACTGTAACAGTCTTCTCAGGAAAATGAAAAAATGTTTACTCTGAATGAAGCTTTTTAAAAATCAAGTTGTTATTTAATGAGTTGCAAATGTTTGGTGTTGGGAATCCTCTTGAGTGATATGCTGGGTGGTATCCCCTGGCTGGGGGCCTTTTGGCTCTAACAGCCACACATATGCTCTGAGGTTGTTTTAAAAAGGCCAAAGCCCAATTTTGACAACCATCAAAATATGTTATGTGTGTGTACAAATCTGCCAAAATGAAATCCATTAATAATAACTAAAGGACCGGGGATTTAGCTCAGTGGTGCCTCTGTCTGCCTCACAAGCGCAAGGCCCTGAGTTTGATCCCTGGTACAATAAAATAATAAAATAAAATAGACCATTAATAATAACTAAAAAGAGAAGGCCAAAATCTTTTTCATTAGACTACCAAAATTGTGCAGATTGCATACCTACCAGCAGAAGGCGCCACCAGGAAGAGACAGTGATGGAGATCCTGGGTGGAGGAAGCCATGGATAAACTTGGCTGCCTTTTCCCCTCAAACACATCCTCTGCCATGAGGTGGGAGCCCCAGTTGCTTAATCAGATAAAAGTGTCATGCTTCCAAGTCACCCTGTCAGCGTTTGATGCCCATAGACAAGAACAGCCTGTGTAAAATGCCATGATTCACAGGCATTCGATATCTTACTAGTGAGCTATTACTGCTTTTAGAAATTTAAAGAGTAATAGCCATAATACCAACAGCTTTAGAGCTCTGTAGCCATCCAGGGGCTTGGAGGGGGTGCATTTTGGACTTTTTTTTCAACTGTTTTCATTAGAATAGATTCTGTGTCAGTTCTACTGCCTGCAATCTAGAGGCTATCTGAATTCAGTCACTAAAAGTTTCAAGTAACACATTTCCAAAATCAGTGCTAATCTTAGATGTTTGAGTCCTTGCTTTTGTCGTAAGCAGCAGGAAGAAGCCTTGAGTTTTAAAAAGTTTCATGCTTTTACAGACACAGTTGGACAAAATGTCTGGTTTCTTGTGAGAAAAAGACATCCCATAAACAAAGATGGTGAAGCAGCTTTTTTCATTTTTGTCCTTATTTCTGTCATTCTTTCATTTATTCTATGACTTACTGATCACATAACATGAACAATACCAGATACTAGAAGGTACAGAACGGTAAAGACAAGTTTTTGTTCTCAGGCAGTATAAAGCTAGTTCAGAAAAACAGATGGGGTTACTGAATCTTTCGATATGGAAAATTATTGTGAGAAAAACATGAGCCTGATAAGACCGTGGGCTTGGCCAAAGAAGAGGGAAAGAAGAGAGATTATGGAGTGCCCAAGGAGGTGGGATGCTGGATGGTGCAGAGACCAGGAAGAGGAGCAGGGTGCAGAGACTTCTCCTGAGGCTGAGGTCATGTTTGATGCCTGTGGGCTTTCAGTTTCTCATGAACCAGAAAGGATCTACCAGGAAATAAGAAAGCAAACTAAACCACAGCCCATCCTGAGGCTCACTGTGGTGTCCAAGCTGAAGACAGCGACCCAGAGAGCTGGCAGGAGTCAAACTCCTCCACTAACGTGAGGAGTAAGCTTCCAGAACCATGAAGAAGGAATTAAAATTCCTTTAACTGACCTCTCTCTTTCTCTCCCTTCCTCCATTCCTCCCTCCCTCCCTTCCTTCCCTCCTCCTTTGCTTCCTTAATTTCATTCCTTGCTTTGGTTCTGGGAGGGAAACCTAAGGCTTCCTGCCTGCTAGGCAACTGTTCGACCACTGAGTTATATCCATTTCTTATCTTGATTTGTAATGATGACTTGGGGCGGGAATAACGGCTTTTAATCCTTTCATAACAGCAACAGAGTATAGGCTAGGGATCTTTTTTTTTTCAGCTTTAATTGAGTTTATTGGTACATTTTAGGGATACAGTACAGTTACATTCATTGTTGGGATCTTGTACCTTTACATGACAAGTCTTGATTCTCATTTTTTCCCCTTACCCCTGCCCTCCCTTCACCCCCTCCTCCCCTCCCCATCTACAAACACTTTATTTCCATCTTTTCATTCTCTCACATTTTTATCTTTTCCCCTATTACCCTTCCCCTACCCGTCCCACCTTCCCTCCACCTTTAGCTCCTTTCTTCCCATTTCTAAATGTCAGTAATCTTATTAGGATAGGCTAGGGATCTTTACGTCACCTCCAGCTTGGCAAAAGCTAGTTGCGCACTTCACCACTTCACCCCCATGGCACCCAATTTCCTCATGACTAAAAAGTGGAAGTTGGATTACCATTTATTATGTCTTAAATTCAATTTCAAGGTTCTGAGAGAACCTTTTCTATACAGGTTCCTTCTAAGTTAGTTCTATGTAGTTCACCAAAAAGGACCCAGGATGTACTACATTTTAAGAAGCAACTCACTTTAAGCCTTAAAATGATAACAGATTTTATTTTATTTTGATGAAGTGACATTAATAGCTTGACACTAATATTCAGTACACTGTGGCCATGTTTGGATGTAACCAAGCTGGAACTTTTATAGTCTGAGTTAAAACTGTGGTTGGGCTAGGCTCATAGCTGCTACTTAGCCAAGTTTCTTGTCCTTTTTCTTCTTTCCTTATATGTCCTTCCTTCTAGCTTTATTCTCTGTTTGCCCTATTCAGCCACATTCATTTAAAACCATATCCTTTGCATATCCTGGGGAGGCTGGGTTCTAGCCTTGTGAAAGTCAAGGTCTAATTCTCATCACTTTGGTTGGAGAGTAGATAGAATTGTTGGGGTGGGGGAGTAGGGAGAAGATGGGGAAAGATTGTAGGGAAACAGATGTATATATGGAGTTCTCAAGGCTGCATCTAAAACTGGTACAAGCTGGGTCTAGAAAAATAGGTCAGGTTCATAGGAACTGCAAGATCCACAAGTAACTTATTCTTAAAACTTAGCTTCACCCAAAGGATAGTGGGGCCCTTCGAATTCATTCATTTCTGAGTGGCCTCTACTTGTGAAGATTTAGAGAGCAGCACTGGGACAGCCTAAAGACCACGCTCATCTGACTAGCTGCCCAGTAGATGCATTGGGAAGCTTTTGAAAGATCCTTATTCCTCAGACCTTTCTCCAGAGATTCTGAACTAATTGATCTGGGGAAGATGAGTAGATTTTTAAATATATCCCCAGATGGTTCATATGCACAATGGAGCCCGAGAATCCCTCTTCAGAACCTTGGTACTATGGATTTACTTTCCAGCTACACATTGCTAAGAAAGGATGGTCAAATCAACGATTTCACACCAGTGGCCTGTGGGGAGAATTTAGACTGCAGATATATTTTGGTATTGTTTGGTTTTGTTTGTTGGCCAGTAAAATTATAAACATTCCCCAAAATCAGGGACAGTGACTTCAGTCGCCTATGGAAAATAGAAAAATGGGGAGGGGGATGAACTCATATGTTTCTGGCTTTCCTCTGCATGTTGATATTTTTTAATATGTAGAAATTTTCCTTGTAGAAAGTGAGTAACACTTTGATCCCAAACTTTCAATACAAAGAGAAGGTCTGCTTCACCACTAGATTGTCACTACGGACTAAATGTGTGTGTTCCCTAAATTCAGATCTTGAAACTCTTGTCACCATTGTGATGAAGACAGTGGATGGAGCCATTGATAAACAACTGGGTCTTCTGGGCAGAGCCCTTGTGGCTGGGACCAGTGCCCTTATAGAAAGCAACTCCAGAGAGCTGCCTCCCACCTCGTGCCTCCTGCCTCCCGCCTCCTGCCATACAAGGGCACAGCTACAAGGCACTGACTCTAGACCAGAAAGCAGGCCTTTGCCAGATGCCAAGTCTGCTGGCACCTTGATCTTGAACATATCATCATCCAGAGCTGTAAGTAATGCATTTCTGTTCATAAACCTTCCAGTTTATGATTTTTTTTTGTGGGGGGTGGGTACCGGGGATCGAACTCAGGACCTTGCACTTGCAAGGCAGGCGGCAGGACTGCAGAGCTAAACCTCCAGCCCAGTTTTTGATGTTTTTATACAGCCTCAGTAGACTAAGACACGCATTGTTTCTCGAACAGATGTTTAATCTCATATTCTTAGGATTAAGATACCTGCACACATTTTTAATCCCAACCCAGCCTCCATATACCATTGTTCATAAATGCAGAGTAAGTTGTATCACAGGGCTCAGTGAATGGGCACTGGGTTGCGTTCATTTGCAGCTCCATTTTTTTTTAACACTTATAGATTGGGCTATAAGATCTGAAAATTCCCTTGGCAATGACATTTTACTACTCATGGTTGAAGCTCAAAGTACTAATAGTCTGGATTAACTGTACACTTTCAAACCACAAGAGCTGGCCCATGTTTGTGGTCAGGGCTTCTATTTCTGCCCTCTTTGCAGGGTGTGACAAGGGTCAAATCAGTCTTTCTCTTAATTCCTTAAATCAGTGTGTACCTGTCCACAGTGGAGAGGACATGTGACACATACAGAACTTCCAGATTCAAACATGGTGGACAGGATATGTTCTGGGTTCCCTTCTTTTTCTAGATCTCATTTATCCTGTATATTAAACTCCTGGAAAAGAGGTTGAGAGTAGAATATACTATTCATTTCTTCCTTGCTTGTTTCTAAGGCCCTAAAACACAAGAGTTGGGTAACAAAGTCAGTATACAGTGGAACCTTGACTTATGAACTCAATTCATTTTTGAGGCCTGGTTGTGACTCAAGTTGGTTAAGTGAAGGTTCAGGCTCCTCTACACAGCCTTCAAAGTCTCTCTTCTGTATACAGACAGACCTCAGTGTCCTTGAACGACATTGGCCCAGGATTTCTCAATTAACTCCACACAGGAAAGGATGCCGTAATGTTCCTTCCAGAATACGGTAAAGGTTTGATCTGTTATCTGAGGCCATCTGGAAGTACAAACTACCAGCATTCAGGTCATAAGTTAAGACCTTGTTTGTAAGTTAATACTAAAATTCTGGCCATAATCCAAGATGTTCGTATGTCCGGCTGGTTGTAACTTGAGTGTCCACCGTACCAGGATCTTATTTTGAAGTATGATTTGTATAACAGTGGCAACCCTGTTATAGTTTATATCTAGGTTTCCCCCCATGTAATCATGGCTGGGACAGTTGGATTACAGGAGTGTTAGAGCTGGCCTGCTATCTGGAGGTGAGGCCTCAGGTCGCTGTGGGCATGAGCTGGAAGATTCTAGTGCCTGTCCCACCTCCTGCCTGGACTCTGCTTCCTGGCAGCAATGATGTGAGCAGCTCTCCCTCAGCCATGCCCTCCTGGTACGGTATCCTGCCCAGGAGCTCACTGACTCTGCACTGAAATGGGAGCCAAAATGAACCTCTCCTGCTTTAAGTTATGAGCGCCAGGTATTTTGTCCCAGTGAGGAAGAAAGTGGCTAAGACATATGCCCCCCTCTAGAACAGACAAGCAATGCAATCACCCCGGCTTCACGTATCTCTACCAAAGTACCACCCAGACTGGGGGTCCTTTAGCTGGGACTTAAGAAAAGTGCCACTGTTTGAACAGAACCACTTCACTATTCACTACAGGCAAGTGTGTAAAGTTTCTACTAAATAACGTACATATTTCAGCTAAAATAAATGTCACGCCTAGAGATCATTCTGGTTTTAATCTCCACTCTTTCCAGTGGGACAGTGGGCCATGGTGCATATGAGGACCTGTTCTTGAGGACCAGGACAAAGCCACCATCTTATTTTGAGCTTGAGGGTTTTACTTTGTGTGTCCATGCTCTCTTCCTTATCATACATGAGATGAACTGCCATAAAAGATACTTTGTATGCTTTTTACTACCGCTGTAGATGACCTGTTCCTCACAGAGGATATACATTCTTCTCTTCTTCCTCCCCCATTTTGTACTCATTCTTACCTTCTCAGGTTGCCCTATATATGGATTCCCGGGGCCCTATTTTCTGTTGGTTGTTGACTTACTATTCATCACCTGCATGTTCTGTCCATTTCTATGCGGGCTTCATGACCTCATTGGTGACATCACTGTCTCTCCTCTGTTCATCATGTACTGGTTATTCCATTTCTTTAGAAGGTCTGACTTTGGCAACCGATTTGGTCCCTGCCATCTCAGCCATGAGAGAGTCTTTTGCCCCGGTTCTGGTGTGACTGATAATTTTATGTGTCAACTTGTCAGGTTAAAAGATGTCCAGATAGCTGATACAATATTGTTTCTGAGTTTGTCTTCAAAGGTGGTCTTGAAGGGATTAGCACATGGCTCAGGAGATTGAAGAGATCCACCCAGTAGGGGCAGCAGTGTCCAACCCGCTATGGACCCAAATAAAACTAAAAGATGTGGTAAGGGGGCTGGGGATTTTGCTCAGCGGTTCGGTGGCCTGCCTTGCAAGTGCAAGGACCCAAGTTCAATCCCCAGTACCACAAAAAAAAAAAAAAAAAAAAAAA